TTGGTGAGCTGCTGCAACCCATAGCATGCGTTAGCCCCATTAAACTGCCACAGCTGCTTCTGGGATGCAGAGACCTGTCAGACAAACGTACTCAGACAGGCTGATCCCTGGGTTCACCGGCTGCTGCTGTGCTCTGACAAGTGACACTAGCCAAGGGACCGGCCTTGCAGCCTGGCTCACCTCTCACATGCCCAGAGGGAGGTCACAGAGGCACCACCACCCTCCAGCAGTGAGCAGGGTTTCACCAGCAGGAAGCACCATCAAAGGGGAGAAATACCTGAAACGTCTGATACGGCCATGCTCTGTGTCTGCAGACTGCTAGCAACACACACAACTAGCCAGCTGACCCCGGCAAAAGCCTGGCAGCAAGTGCTAAAACACAAATATATGATGTAAACTTCAGTTAGTTTTCCTGGCACTAACCTCATTCAAGAGTAGGGTGAAACTTGCAAGGAACTTCCTTCCCCTCTGCTCCTGTGGAAGGTTTAATTTGTCTGCACTAGACACACTGGAAAGGAAATGTGTAATAGCATGGATGCTGTAACTGAATATATTTGACAAAGTTGAAGGCCTGCTGACCTTCCAAAGCCATAAGATTAGTCACATCGTGATCTAATAACTTCTGAGAAGGCTAGAGGCAGCACAGGGATAGAAAATGTTTTATAAGTTTGGTTTTTAGTTGAAAAGAGCATTAATCTCCCTTATTCGTTATAAAATGTGCTGTTTACTTATTCAGGTAATGAATTCTTTTTCTAAAAATAAAAAAGAAATAGATGTTCCATTATTTGTCTGGTTAAGAAAAGCAAAAGCTGCACCTGATTTGGACATACATGTAAACTGCAGCCTTAGAAGTAAACCTTTATGGTTAAATGCTCATTTGAAATCCGAGTTTGAGTCACCTTTCCCTGTTTCTGGTTTCACCCTGAGACAACTCTGCTATTCCCCCATGTCCATCTATAGCTTTAACTACTCTGTGCTGTCAGAGTAGTGCCAAAAACCGGGAAGTTGCCCAGAATCCAACTCTATCATCCTAGAGGTCCATCTTGGGCTCCGTTTGGAGAAATTCCCTGCACCCAGCAGGCATTAAGCCACAGCTCCTGGACCCATGCTTTTAACTATAGTAAACACAGAATACTCTGGAGTTGGACCTAAGAAAGTTCATCTTGAAAGCTGATGATAATGGAACAAGAGTTGAAATGGCTAGGAAGGAGACTGAACTGTGGTAGACAAGATTTGCTTTTGAAATCTAACCAACAAGCCCCATGGCAGAGACTACCTGACATTCAGGGACAAGTCAGTGCAGGGTAAAGAGCACAGCCTGGCTACACGGCAGGATGGCTGAGAAGAGCCACAGGGTGACACCTGGCGCTGTGGGGAACCCAGGAATGGTACCAAAAGCAAAGGCCTCTGAATACCCTTGCTCTAAACACAGAAATGCTGTCAGCTCACACTAGCAGGTTCAACACCTTCGATGCACCCCTGCCAGCTCTGAAATAAAATACCTTTTGTCCCATGTCTCCACCTGGGAACGGGCTGTCTGGAGCAAGGACTGGCTCTGCTCATACAGCACCTAACAACTATTAGCACAAATAAAGTGAGTACAGAGAAGCACTAAGCAGCATAAGATTTCTCCTTTAGAATCTGCTTGCAGAGAGATGACAGTGACTAAACAACAGTAAGGTAACAAACCAGCCTGCTTGATCCTCATCTTGTACACCAACTGTACACCAACCAAGCCACCCTGACACTAGCATTTTGCATATCTGTGTGTCTAACCTCTACCTGGCCATCTATATTGGATGTCCAGAATCACAGAATGGTTGAGGTTGGAAGGGACCTCTGGAGATCTAGTTCAACTCCTCTACTCAAGCAGAGTGACCTGCAGCAGGTTACACAAAATCAAACCCACATGGGCTTTGAGTATCTCTACAGATGGAAACCCTACAACCTCTGGGCAACCTGTTCTAGTGCTCAGTCACCGTTATGGTAGGGCAGTTCTTCTGGAAAGTCACCTGCATTTCAGTTTGTGCCTGTTGCTCTGTCACTGGACACCAGTCTAGCCCCATCCTCTTGACAGCTTCCCTTAAGAGATCAAGGGGAATTCCTTTGTTGGGACTATAGCAACTGAGGAAAGAAAAATGATCTCTAAACTACGGAAGGAGATGTTTACACTATATTTCCCACCTACAAATTGCAAAACGCTAAATTCTTGCAGGTGGCATGAGCACGTAGCTGGAAATGCATGCTATACCTACATTGTAAAATGCTTCCTTCTGAACTATTTTAAAAAGCAAGGCCAAAATGAGACAAAGAGTCTCTGGCAAGCAGAACAGCCATCCTAGCTGGAGGCTGGCTCAGGTCTTGATGCTGAGCTTTGGGACCTCACATTCAAAAACTCCCCACTCACCCACTTCAGCATCTAGACATTTGCAGTGATCGCAATTCAAGTACTGGCCTTCAAATACCATCAGTTATCCTGTAAGCACCGATACAACCAACAAAGAGGGAAGCCTGGGACAGATTTCACATGGCACTGGTCAGATTATGTTAGAAGTGTCTAAGATAATCTTCTCACTTTTTACTACTGTACAATTCCTACTATTGGCAAAAAGAAACACTAACCAGCTACACAAGGTGCAGCTCTTGATAACATGCTTGATAACAGGCCAAATAGAAGTTGCCAGGAGTACCAGAGCATCTGTATCCAATACATTAGCCTTATTCACCCGGACTTCGCTCCGCATCCACCTCCATCACCAGCCTGGGGGCTGCGGTGTCTGCAAGGGCTTTGTGCTCAAGCAACAGGATAAACACAAGGTGAATTAAGGCTCCCCTCCTCTCTGCAGCTGGCAGCTCTTCTCCCCTCAGCCAGCAGGACACCAGAGCAGAGGCTGCCTGCATGGGTAACCAGTGTGGAGCCACAGGGCAGGTGACCTCTAGGAGCACAACAAAGAGGCCAGGACTCCCTTATGCTGCTGTCTCTGCAATCGCTTGAAGATGTAGAAAAATGATACATGACACAAATAGGACAGCAGACATAACAGGAGATCTTGTCCCCACCTCTAAGGAATTCACTGGATCAAAGTAATTTAGAGTATGTCATAGTTTGGTATCTGCAGGACAGAAGCTTGAGATGGTATTACCACTATTTATATAGACTACTGGTTTATATCATTGTTGTTTTGTGCTTTCTAAAAAGGAATCTTTAGCAGAACAATTGTCTTATTACCATTAAGTACGACCAGCATAGAGTGGGACAATATCCATCTCTGCAGTGTGTTGAAGCAAAGCCCAATTTATTAGTCAAAGAGCAGCAGCTACATCTCATGGAAAGATTTAGTATTGCAAGTTCATTCCTAATGTGAGAGTTTAATTGAAGTCATCTTAATTTTACACTGATCTATCTTGGTATTCTGCCAAGATAAGATCCTTCTCGGCCCTGTTCTGCACTGCCTTTTTTGTGCAAGATGCACCACCAAAGGTCAGACAGACAGTGAATCCAAAACAGCTTCTCCCAGTTCAGCACACTTTACCCAGAGTGATAACCCTGTCTGGATCACACACCCCCGTTATTTCTCCTCTGTCAAGAAGTGAAGTAAAAATCTCTCTCACTTGTGACCACATCACCCCCCAAACCACAGCCTTGGGAAGTGCCTGCTAGCTGAAGCTAATACAGCAACAAGTCTTTTATGTTCAGTCTGGGTTTACTCCCTGCTACTGTCTGACTTTCCTAAGCCTTAAAACAAAACTTATATTGCTCTACTGTATGAGCCAAACGTACAATATTGTTGCTGCTGTTTTCATACAGACACTTTCAGGATAGCACAGAAGTTAAAGGCCTGTGTACCACAAATTTGGAGTCTTAGTATAGACCTGGTCTGAGCATTAAGATCTTCATTGTACATACAGTAGCCCACATACATGCTACTAAGAGGTAGCTAGCTAAAGAATAGACCTGGAGCTGCTAAGGACTTACATTTCCTCCTGCCCTGAAGGATTACCCTGACAAACAATCAGCTTTCCTTACTCTGGAGCGCAGTTCACACCTCACAGTGCTCTTCAAAGCAAATTGCAACTAGTTGGGCAAGAGAAGGAAGGAATTCCCAGTGATATTGAAACAAAAAGCAGTAGCCACTGATGCAGCAATTCAAACAGAAGCTGCTCGTTTGAAATATCAGTTATTGGCCCAATTAAAGTTGACTATGTCAGCCTCTGACATGCAGCCTGCTGTATTTTTCAAGGCCCTCCATAAGATGCATCACTGGTCAATGGCAGGGAGTTCTGGACTGTCCCTGGAAAGCCAATAGCAAACTGAAACCATTAACACACACACACACACACACACACACACAGAGAGAGAGAGAGAGAGAGAAAACAAATGTTGTCCTGCTATTCAGTACATCCTAATTTGCCTGCTGTAACAAATGTCAGTGCCCAACTCTTTTGTTTTAAGCCTCTAAGTCCTACACTTTTATATCAATCAAAAATCCATTTCTGACTCACTTCCCACCCTCTCAAATGAAGGGCAACACAGCCTGATCAGAAATTTTGCTTATTATTCTTTTTATATTAGTAACTAGTCTTGTTTACTGTGAACACTTAAGTCTAAGATTCATACCAAGTGTCTCAAAGAAGGAAGAGAGGTAACTAAGCAGGACATAACACTTAGCCTGCCTAAATTTTCAGTTCTTATTTTGTGGCATTTGTGACAGGTCAAGCTCTATTACAACCTTGTAACTCTAGAACATTTTAAGAGGAGACTGCAGAATGCACAAAATAGACATATGTCCTGTGCTGACCCTGATCAGCAAGCTCAGTGGCCATCAGTACAGAGCTTTGGTGTTCCTGCATAGAGAAAAGACTGGGAGTGACAGGATGACAGCTGTTTTTCATGATGAACACTGCACTGATACATACAGAAGGGGCAACTTGAATATTTATGAATTTATCAATAAATCGGTGCTCCCTAAAAAGAGACAGCCAGTAACATACAAGAAAAGTGCAAATTAAGAATTTTATTTTTTCCATATTCATAATTAAAAAGTGAGTGAACACAGGACAAGAATTCAGAGAGACTAGACATATATACAAGACAGTTCAGCTATTAGATTTTTTCCATCTTCAAAATCAAGTCATCACAGATTTTTGTTAGCTCGTCATTTTCTTTAGTCTGTCAAGAATAAAAAACATAGTTAACTTTCAGGTATCTCAAAACAATGACACAGTTATTTGAGTTACAGATAGTCATGTTTGCCAACACATGACAGTGTTGGCAACACAATGGCAGAAAGTCCATTTACATGCTGACCTAGGTAAGTTTGCTTCAAAAGGCAGTCTATTTTCAGAAGGTTATGAGTTATCTGCCAAGCCTATTAAGGGTAAGCCAGAGCTTACTATATTATCTTTTTACTACTTTTGCAGACTTTCCCATAGTATGAGATCAGCAATCTTGGAAAATATGAGTTAAAGTCCTTTTGTTACATGCTCTCAAATTCAAAAGAATAGCAATCATGTAGATTTCAATATTCATCAACACTTATGTGGGAAAAAATCCAGTTTAACTCCCTAAATAGTCAACCATTTTAATAAAAAGTTTAACATAAAATGTTGCTGTATTTATAACAGAAGCAAAACTAGTTCTGTGTTAATTGGTTCTTCTCATCTCACTATTTGACGACCTATTATTTATTCAGCTACACAAATCTGAACCCTAAGCCTGGAGATGCAACACAGCCATGGGATTTTTCTTCATAAATGCAGGAATCTTTCAGCATTAGCTACTTTGTGTCTTCAATGCTGGTAAAAATAACCATGATGCAACATAATACTAAGAGCAGGCATTTTCCAACAAGATAATTTAAAACCCTTAGACTTCCCCCCGCCTCCCCTTTAAAAGGTTCAAACAAATCAAACTGATCTGCCTTTGCAAAGTGGTCTAAAACTTCATCTATGCAGTATGAAACACTGCAGTGGAATATTGGTATTAATATCTTGAAAAATACTGAAAGTCCAGCCAAAACAAGAAAGTTTGTATTAGTACTAATGGCTTATAAATCATGTAGTTAGCAACAAGCCGATCCAGCTAGTTATTCAAAATTCACTCTCAAATTCTGCCCTGTAAGATGTTTAAGCTCTACCACTCTATTGCCTTCAGCAGTTAGATAGCCTTCAGAGAACTGTCTGTTCAACTGCTTCTGACCCATGTACAGTAACAAATCTTTTGCCCACACAGATTTGTACATAAAGCACAACCGCAGAAGTCACCTGTAAGTTTCAATACCTATTTCCAAGAGCCTGCCTGGTCAGCAGACAGCAAAAACAGAAGAGTTGGTCAGCACAGTTATTTCTAGAACTTGTAAAAGAATTCTTAAGCTAGTTCAGGCAGTACTTTAGAGTCATTTTTGCCATTTGGACTAACCTTTTGCTCTAGAGTCCTCTCTAAGGATTGGATCCTCATTTGTTCTTTGCGGAGACTGGCTTGTAACGCCGTAGTCTCTGCCTTGGCTCTGCTCCGGACCTGGGCAATTTCTTCGTTTGCTCTAAATTGAAGGAAGACAGTGTTCAAGTGCCATCAGACAGCACAGCAGAACTGTTAACAGCAGATACAAGTTCTTGCACTTCAAGGTTAAGCCCCAAATTAAGTGTTTTAAGTCACACTAAAACTTTGGCACTAATGAATCAAGTTCTGCAGCAGCTCTAACTGGGCAAACCAAGTATTTCACTCCTTACACGCCACTTCTTCACATGGTACTTACTGATGCAGCTTTTCTTCAGCGTGTGCCTTTAGTGCCTGGTATCTCTGCTCTTCCTTCTTGATTCTGGCCAGGTAGTCTTCAACACACTTTTTCAGAGCCTCTTCATTCTATCCCAAGAGGAAGAAGTTTAGTTAGCTTTTTTATGTGACAGCAGCTAAGCATTTGAAAAACCTGATTTCTGGTCACATGTCTATAAAGATAAAGTGAACCAATCTCCCTACTTTCCAGAAAAGTACAATAAAATGGCATTATTCATTTGAATAACAGGGACAGTGGTCCACACTCATACAGGGAGTAAAGTCATTCTCTTCAGTCCCTCTCATTTTGCAAACATTGTCCTCTGCTCCATAGCATAAACACACTACCAGAAGCTTTCTGCTAGCTAAAGAGAAAAGGCCCTGGGTCCTTGCTAATTCTCTTATCTGTTTTTATTTTTCAATCAACTTCATCTTAACTTAATCCAACATTAAATAGCACCAAAGCTACCAACATCATCATACCTTATCTTCTGAGCTATTACAGGAAACAAACTGTTTGAAAAAAAAGTGCTGAGACACTCCACTAACTCCAGATATTGAATTCAGTAACTCACTGTCCCCAGATGGTACAT